TCTCCTTCACCTTAGCTAATGTGAAGATTATAGCTGGTGTTTCTGTTAAAGTCCCAAGAGTATCCTCCATAGCCCAACTGCGTAAGAGGAAAGGTTAGAGAAATGTAATGAGATTACTAAAATATACAAAGTTTTACTAGGTCATGACAGGTAGAGCCTTATTGCTATAAACAAAAACTGCTAACTATCTTGTGCAGGTGGGTGTGGTTGAGGGTGGAGTCAAACATGACGTACATTGAATAGGTTGATATGGGAGGAGTACCAGCAACACTGGTTAATATTGTGTGAAGACGTCAGCCATTGGCAGTTGCATATTGAAATGAGTACTTAGGACCTCAGGTACTGATTGACCTAAAGATCAGACTAATTATGTGTATAAAACACATGTATGATGTATAATAGTATAATACTATGAATGTGTGTATATGTACTAGTATAATAATATTAATGATTATTTTAAGATTTTGTTCTTTTCTTTATTTTCAAAATTATGAATCAAATCAATTCTATTAATAAAATAGTTAAAAAGTTAGAGATGAGAGGGAAAAGAAGAGAAAGTATATGTGTGAAGCAGTGAGCAAAACTATGTATGTGAAAAATTGAAAGAAGACGAGGTAGAGTGACTTTCCTTAAATTGTAATTTATTTAGTTAATACTTCATGATACGATTGTTGCCATATTCAGCAACATAAATATATCCATCCTTATCCAGTGCTACTCCCCATAGATTAGATAATCCTGAGATTAATTTGACTTCTTTCCTGTCAGGACTCAGTACGTGAAGATAGCCATTGTTACATGATATAAAGATATATCCTTCATCATCAATAGCAATACCATTAGGAGTGTTAAAGTTACCAGCTGGATTATTGTATGTGTCAAGATGAGTTTTACCATCAGAAGAGAAGACTTGAACATGATGTTGACTTTGAATGGTAACGTGTATCTTTCCTTCATTATCAACTGCTACATCAGTTGCTTTACCATCACATTGTATGACTTGTACAAATGTACCATCTTCTTTAAAGATTTGTACTCTGTTGTTGTTGTAATCAGCAACTAATATATTACCCTTACCATCAGTAGACATACCACAAGGATTAGAGAATTGTCCATTACCAATACCTGCACTACCAAACTGACCAATATACTGACCTGTAGTAGCTGAGAAATACTGCACATGATGAAGATTATCATCAGACACATAGAGCCTGTCTCCTACCAGCAATAAACCCCAAGGCCTGTCAAACTGTCCATTACCATTACCTTTAGATCCAATCCTTCTTACTGCAGTACCATCCTTACTAAATACCTGAACAAACCCACCCCTACTACCAGCAAATACTTCACCATTAGTATGAACAGCAACACCAGTAGTACCATTCCCCACAAGTAAAGGATCTCTGGTTAGTTAGTGTGGTATAGTCTCTTGATGCTTTTA